GTTTCTAAAAGTTCCAGTAAAGTTCCCGAACGGACCGGTTCCGGGTTCGGGAGCCGGCGAGGCTGTGAGCCGGTGATGGTGCCGGGCGGGCCGGGTCGGGCCGAACTTTACCTGCTATTCCCTGTGTTTGCAGAATGAAGTTCTTCCAGCTGTCCGCGGCTCCATGTGCAGCAGGACGCAGCGCCGCCGCGGCCCCATGGAGCTGCAGCCGGAGTCCCTCCCCTCTCCACGGCACTTCCTCCTTCCAGCCCAGCATCGTGCTGCCGCCGAGCCGCGCTCTGAGCGCAGCTTTTATCAGCCGAGCCCGAACCAGAACCAGAACCCCGCGGGCTCTGAGCTGCGCCAATAAACAGCTGGCGGGCAGCGGAGCATCACTGAGAGGGGGGGGGGGTCATTCTTTATTCACTCACAGGGAGGGGAGAAGTTCTGGTTCTGGTTCCGAAAAGTGACCTCCAGAGGTTTTATTCCCATAGAACCGAACCGAGTTTGGACCCAACAGAGTCCAGACTGAAGGTTTTACTGTTAAATACAGTCCTGCTGGTCTGAGCCAGACCGGGTCCAGCAGAACCTCCTTCATATCCAGAACTCTGTGGTTCTGGATCAGAACCTCTTTCATTTCCAGAACTCTGTGGTTCTGGATCAGAACCTCCTTCAGCTGCAGAACTCTGGTTCTGGATCAGAACCTTCTTCAGTTCCAGAACTCTGGTTCTGGATCAGAACCTCTTTCAGCTGCAGAACTCTGTGGTTCTGTTTCAGAACCTCCTTCAGTTCCAGAACTCTGGTTCTGGATCAGAACCTCACATGTTTTTAAGAGGAGTTTCTGCCGAAGGTTCTGGACTCTGACTGCACATCTGCTGCTGGGTTCTGTTGGACCTGGTTTTTGRTCCACAGAGGACTTCACGGTCCACTCATTTAGGTTTCAGGTCCTCGGTTCAGGTTCTGGACTCTGACTGGACCTGGGTTCTTTGTGTTGTAGATCAGCTGCTGTGGTTCTGCTGGACCCAGTTTGGTCCAGACTTCACATTAGGCTCTAGAACTCTTTGGACTTGGTGGTCCCCCTCCTCAGTGTCCCTGCAGTGCATTCTGGGTAAACATCAGTCCTTCGGTCCGGTTCTGGTTCTGGTCCAGACCCGAGTCGAGCTGCAGTTGGTTTTAGGGAGAACAGGTCCTGACCTCTGACCTGCAGGGTCTGAGGTGGAGCTCGTTGCGCGGTCTGACCTTCAGTGTAAATTTCTGATTGACGGGCRGCAGCAGTCGCCTCTCTGAGATGATGTGACGTCTTGTTACCATGGTAACACACACCTGTCGCCGCAGGTGGAGGCGGTCCCTCAGGCGGATCAGTCCAGCAGAACCTCTGGGGTCCAGAGGACCCAGCAGGATCTAGGTTTCTCTGTTTTTATTTGTTTTAAAACCAACCCAGCAGGAGAATAAAACTGCTGAGTCATCGAAGCTTKTTGATTTAAAATATTTCCACGTTTATTGACTTATTTTATTTATTTTTAAACAAAAACAGCACCAAGGGGGTGAATACTTTTGCAGCTGACTGAAACCTAAAGGTCTAAGTTCAAATGTGTCCAGAAAATAAATAAAGTAAAAATAATCAACATTTATTAAACATAAAGTGATAAAAACTGCACAAAATGTGTTTAAAATCTATAAATTAAATAAATAAATCCAATGATTCAACAGTAAAACGAATAGTTTCAGGTTGTTGTGCGGTTGTTGTTCCTCAGGTTTGGCTCTAACAGTTTCCCAGCATCCCGCTGTCGTCTGGCCCCCAGCAGGCTCTTATCTGAGGGGGCGGGGCTTCTGCTGGACTGCTGAGTCACCTTCAGGGGAGGTCGCCCTTATCTCCTGAGCAGCACAGCTTTCAGGCAGTTGGCTGCAGAAAGGAGGAACTTTGGGCAGGAGCCGTGTCCTCACGGGTTGCAGCAACTTCCTCTGAGCTTCCTCAGTCTGCAGAGGAGGCGGGGCTTTTTACTGACGCTCCAGGTGGGACGTTCACCTGCYGGGCCACCACGGAGAGAACTGTGACTCAGCGTTAAGAGGGACAGGTTTCCAATAAATGAGACCACCGCTGGAGTTTAGAGACGCTCCATACAGGCTCCAAACACCCCCCCCCCCACACACA